TCCCCATCCCCATCCCCATTCCCTTCCTCCTGCTTGCTCCTGTTGCTGCCGTCGTCGCTTCTCTCTCCCTGTTTGCGTTCACACCTACGAGGTTTACGAGGACTCGCCGATAGTTTGTAGGTTCGCACATAACGAGCGCACCCGTACGTGTACGTATACGGAAGGACGCAACGTGGAACGGAGAGATAACTGGCTATTACGTTCGCGGAAGGAAAGTGATTTTCCCAAGGGCGCACTGACCTCCACACCTATGAGACTATTCTAGTTTTCTTTTCCTCTAAACCAAATTTAGATTGATTTCTATTAAATTATTCTTGCGCTGTACAATTACATGACTCTGCATTTCCTCACGCAAAATGCGTAATGCAAGCTGCAAGAGCTAAAACTAAAAAAACAAAAGCTATAAGATTTCGAGGTAACAGAAAAAAGTTTAGAAAAGAAATGCTAATTCTATGATATCTTTTAGATCTTGCACAAACTGGTATCGATATTATATAATATGTAGGAGGAAGCTCCTAAATTTATTTATTAAAAAATAAAGTAAACTGTGGTCTTGATAAAACTAAAAAAAGTATTTCCCTATATTTTACTTTAAGTCATTTTGAGACGTACAACTGAATGACATTAATTTATCTGCTATTATATCGATACAAATATGAAGAAGCCTACGTGCTTGTGCACGTTATTCAATGCCTAACTCTGCTGTCTAAGATACGTCGTCGTTTATGATTAATTGCGATAGATAATACTACTGGCATATCAGTCGTCTTTTTGCCATCGATTAACCGTACCGATCGTGATCGTCCATTGCGCGTCTTTCGATCCCGTTCCTTTGGCCTGCTTCCTCGAATGAAAAAGGTAATCAACGAGTGCGAGCAACGCGGTTCCGTAAAGGAGGGCGTCCGTTAGAAGGAGGATGTCGAAAATCCGTTGGAAGAGGATGGAGGACGAAGGACAAAGCGACGAAACGGGAAGAGGACCCGAGTGAGATGTAGGTGAGGAGGAGAGACCGAAAAAAAGAAGAAAATGGGCCGTGGTCATTCGCGCCAAACTATTCTTGGGCGACTTCGTAACGGTATATCCGATGAGACCCAACTCACGAATATACACTTTAGGCACGCGGCCCTTGTCCGGTTGTCTCCGAACAGCTCTCCATCCAGCGATTCATCGAAGCTTATACCTCTGATATGGGCCGTTGGATCATACTTTTGCCTTCTGCCCCCCCCCTCCACCTCCCTTCCACCCTCTCTCACTCTGTCTTTTTTCCCTTCGTAAAGTTAGCGTTGACGAATTGGGCTGCTTCTTAGGATAGTCACGAGACTTCTCAAATATTCTTGGGCCAAATGAAACGTGACGCGAATAGTATGCATCTTGTGACAAGTATATGTGTGTTGCGTTGGCGTTTTGCGGAAATTCGCTTGTTGTTAATGGAATATCGCCATATAAAGGGATACGTTCAGGCCAATAACAGAGATCGACACGGATATTATTGATATCTTGCATGAAGTTTCACTGGAATCGATATAGAAATCTATCTATCAATGTTCCTTCAAAGCTACACGAAGCCAATCGTGATCATCTACCATAATGAATGTTTGGGATCTGTGTTATTCGATGATCTTTTCGTTCATTTAACACCGCTTTATTAGGTTCATAATCCTAAGCATTGCAAACATACTTGACATATTTTAAATAATACATCGCAGGAACTAGTTAAATATTAATTAAATATTTAGAAACTTTTGTGAAATCCTACAAGACAAGAATTTGCAAAAAGTCCATATCCATCACACGTTCTAATACACATGCTTAGATGACTTATGTCTGACTTATATTTATTGTTAATCTTTCTCTCTCTCTCTCTCTCTCTCTCTC